CTGTCCCCTCGGGCTCCCGTGCCGCCACCCGCCGGGGCCCTCCTCTCGGAGCCCGGCCAGCGGTGCGAGGCGGTCAGCAGCAGCCCCCCGCCGCCTCCCTGCGCCCAGAACCCCCTGCATCCCAGCCCGTCCCACTCCGCGTGCAAAGAGCCCGTCGTCTACCCCTGGATGCGCAAAGTTCACGTGAGCACGGGTGAGTGCGTGGGCATCGCTTCCCTCCCACCCCTGGCGCTTTACACCGAAGGGATCTGGAGGCATAAGGGGGGAGGGAGCTGGGGGAAGCCAATTGTCCCCGCTATAAACTCGCCATTGCCAGAGATTTACGGTCGCCTGTTTTCAGAGCCACATAATTACATCCCCCATAAATTTTTATGGCCTGGTGGGCCCCTGCGCCTTTGAAGTCGGTTCCCCATCCTCTTCTCCATTCTCACTAGCGACGTTTTTTTTTCCCCCCCGTCAGGGAGAAGCAGTCTCAGTAAAGAAGAAGTTGGGGAGGGATGGGAGGAGGGGAAGAGGAGGAGGTAGTAATCTATATTTAAGTAGACTTGAATCAACTCCATATATATACATATATGTATTATATATATATATATATATATATATATATATATGTTTTTCTTCCTTTCGGTTCAGTCTGACTCCTTGGCTGGAGATTATGGGCAAAAGTTCTTGTTCTTTCTTTCTTTCTTTTTTTTTTAATAGGGGAAGGCATTGCTTGGAATCTGAGCCGTGAGGGTGGGAACTGCACACACAGGGAAAAAGGTTTAGGGACACACCCCTCCCTCTTCCACCCCTCATTTTCCCACCCCCGGGGCCCCCAGGCCAAGAGGGAGAGTTTTAAAACCTTGTAAGATTCCTCACTGCTCCCAACCCCCACGCAACGACCACCGCGAAAGAAAGCACACTCCTTCAAAACTTTGGGATCTTTTTCTCCCCCCACCCCCGTCCCACTTTCTTCTTTTTTTGACCCTCACCCCAGAGGGGGTGGGGGGGAAGAAGAGGTGGCGAAAAGAGGGAGGGGGTGACTGTTAGTTGGAAGAAAGAGCTCTTCCTCCTCCCTTTCTGGGGGCAATAAAACTTTCTCTTTCTCCCTTCTCTCTCTGTGTGTCCAGTAAACCCCAATTACGCCGGCGGAGAGCCCAAGCGCTCCCGGACTGCCTACACTCGCCAGCAGGTCTTGGAGCTGGAGAAGGAATTTCACTACAACCGCTACCTGACTCGGCGCCGGAGGGTGGAGATCGCCCATGCGCTCTGCCTGTCCGAGCGCCAGATCAAGATCTGGTTCCAGAACCGGCGCATGAAGTGGAAGAAAGACCACAAGTTGCCTAACACCAAGATACGCTCGGGTGGCACCGCAGGCGCAACCGGAGGCCCCCCTGGCCGACCCAACGGAGGCCCCCCTGGCCTCTAGTGCCCACCCCAACAGGAGCCTCGAACCTGGGGGAATGGGGGTGGGCAGCAAGTACAGAGATGGGGGGTATGTGGGGTGTGGGAAGGGACCATCCCCTCTGGGGCCTGGGCCAGGGAAAAACCCCTATTCACCCTTTCTCACTTTATATGAATAAACACAGAGAAGGGAGATGGGGAAGCTTTATTTATAAAAGTGACAATAGGCATAGGAAGCCGGGGATGCCCAGCCCCCAGAAGCAGGATTCAGGTCTCTTGCTTTCTTCCAAGAAAAGAAGAAAGGAACTAAGAAAGAAAGGAAGGAAGGAAGGAAGAAAGAAGAAAAAGACAGAAAGAGAAATAGGAGGAGACTTCAGCTCCTCATTTTCGGCTTTGGCGAAGATGGATCCACGTTTCATCTTTAATCACGCCAGGCCTGGGCCCATCTGTCTTGTTTACTCTGCCGAGGAGAGGACTGGCCTCGGTGGCGACCATTACCTCGACACTCGGCTAACAAATGAGGCCAGGCTAGGCCGCCCGCCTCTGCTGCTGCCGCTGCTGCCACTGCTGGAACACAGCCTGGATATTTTTTTTCTTTGTCCCTTACCCCTGACACCCAGCGAAAGCACCCTCTGACTGCCAAGATAGCACAGTGTTTTGGCCACGGTAACAAAATACACACATAACCTCCCTCCCTCTGTGCCCGGTCAAGGGGGACAATGACTACTCACTCAACTCCCTTCCTCCATGGGGCTGGAAAGGGAAGAGTTTGGGGGGCCAGCTTGGGCAAAGCAGGAACTGTCAGGGAAATTGAGTCTCAGAAAAAAGAAAAAAAGGACTGGGACACCCCAGGAGGGGAAGGCCTAGCCATGCCTGGCAGGGTAAGGGTACAGTTGAGTTCTGTGAGCTGGGCATCATGACTATGGCTAGAGTTGTACAGCAGAGGCCCAATCCTAGACTGAAAATGAATGTGAAACTAGGAAATAAAATGCGACCCTCCCATGGTGGGAGGGTGATGTTGCAGAACCTCTTCCATAGTTTTATCAGTGTTGCATCGTTTATTATTATTCTTAATATTATTATTATTATTTTATGTCGTGTTCGTCCTCTCTCCTGTTTTCTGACATTCCAAACCAGGCCCCTTCCTTCAGGGGCTGCCTGAGCTAGAACCTTTCGTTGGTGTGAAAACTGGTATCCTGTACAGAGTGACAATAGAAATAAATGTTTGGTTTCTTGTGACCATCACATTGTGTTTTTGTTGGACTGTCAATGGCAAAGATATGGACAAATGCCACCCAGTGACTATGTTAAGCACCCTAGTGGATTTGGCCTTATGTTCTATGTGGTTAAAGTTATTTTTTTTTTCTCTCCCCCAAAGACTCTTATGGGAATTTCTCAGAGGATTCCAAATTGTGGTAGCTGGTTTGTTTCCCTTTCAGGGTGGGTCTGTTGTATTTGATGCTTTTATTTTATTATTTTATTTTCCCTGCAGCCCAGAAATGGGTCAGAAGGATGGGAAGGCTGATTCCACTCCCTAATTGGGGTGGGGGGGATATGTTTCATTGTAGGACACAAGAGGCTTAAGTATGGCAAAGCCTTTCATATCATGATTTATTTGTCATAAGCAAATAAAATGCGGTTAAGCTGTCTCTTTCTAGACAGACGGCTCTTTGGTTATTAAAGTTCTGAGAGGATTCCAAGAGGCCGGCCTCTTTCCTCCCTGCGTAAGAAGGTATTGCTTTCCTCTGAGGTGTTTAAGGCTTTAATGAGTCTAATTTTTTGCACAGATGTTTCTGGGTGTTTGCAGGTTTTCCGAGTATTTTTATATTACAAAGGAGCTAGCCGGTGCCATAGCTCAAACTCTGACAAGCAAATAGATAATCAAGAAGACAAATGGCCTCTTTTGTGAAGCCCTGCTCCTGTATTAATTTTCATTTTCTTTCTTATAGAAAGTATCGAAAGTATGACTGGGGACCAAATAGCTGTCTGTCTCTGAGGTCCCCATCTTCCCTAGAATGGAATGGGGGAAGGGGAAGAGGTGCAGGTGATCCTCAAAAAGCTCTCTGAGGCTTGGGCTGCTTTGAACAGCACTACCAAGGAAAGTTCTAAGATCTGGGGCTCCAGCCTTCAGGGTCTCTTGAATGGTGGTGGTCAGAATACCACCACTCACAGTCCAAAAATCTTGAACTCCAAGGAGCTTATACAATTAAAAGTCATTTTGATATTGTTTTGTTTTGTGGTCCTGTTTCCTTTCAGCAAACAAAAAAAAGCCTTTTACATGTTTTATTGTTATTTATTTTGCATTTCTCAGGTTTACAGATTGGTGATTAGAGGCTGGGTAGGACCAGGAACCAAACGGCCCCTGATTCCCAGTTCAGGAAAGGGTGGTTGCATTGCCACTTTAAATGCAACTGGGAGATTAATAATAACAATAATAAATAATAATAAATGTTCTCCCAGACCTGGAGGAGGATGAGCCGTGATGTTTTATATGCAAAAGCTTGGAGCTGAGGGGGGAAATAGCTCTTAAAAAGCATACTCCCCCCCCCAGGAATGTCTCTAAAGAACCAAATCAAAGCTGTTCCTTGGAAGGTATGAATAGAATTAAAAAAAAAAAAAGATTTCTATGGAGCTTAAAGTTCACAGCCATTCTGTGTAGACAAGAGCTAAGAAAAATGTGAGAATTATACAGAAAACCATTAATCACTTCTTTTCTTTAAATACGTATCCTCTCTCCTTTGTTATTATTCAACAGCAAATCTCCGCAGACCGGCTGTTGGGGGAAAAAAGTGTTAGCCGTCTCTCCCGGATCTGCGAGGGGGAAAATTTGGAGCCATAAAGTTGAAAACTTTTTTCTCTCAGTTTGGAAGAAGCTGATCATGAATGGGACCTGCAGAGCTCGGGCAAGAGGAGGCCAGAGATGCAAAGGTAACGGAGGCCTACCCTAGCCTGGCATTGCTTTCTTTAAAAATCATTTTATTAGCTCTTTTCACAAGTGAAAGAAGAAACAGTCTCGCCTCCTCCTTTTCTTTTTCAGCTATCTTTGTGGGACTTTTATAGTGGACACTGGAGCAAAATTGCTGCTGCCTCTTATGATGACTGATGTTAGAATGAGAGAGAGAAAGAGAGAGAGAGAGAGAGAGAGAGAGAGCGCCTGACACCTGGAGAGTGTTTGAACTGCTTCTAACTGAGGTGTCAGCACCCGATGAAAAGCCCTAGCCAAAAAAAAAAAAAGCTGTTTGTGAAATGGCTCAGAAAGCACTGATCTGATTTTGAAAACACAGGCTGATTTGGGGCGAGACTTCGTGTGTGTGAGCAGCGCGTGCCTGTGTGTAGCTAGCGAGGTGTGTGCTTGCCTTGTATTCCTGGGACTTTGATGATCTACATTGAGGGCTTGTGTCTTTATTCCTGTTTTACCTCTGAGGGGTTGTCACTGCCATTTCCTGGAAAAATAAATCGGTTCTTGGATGGAGTGCGTGTTGCAGTCTTGGAGCTGGCACAAAGGGATGTGATCTGTTTGGTTTTCTTCTTGTGTGTAGCCTGGGATTCTAGACAAATTTGGGCTCTCCGCGGTGCTTTTCTCTGCAGCGAGAACTGCTTGGTTTACAGGCAAGATGCATTGACACAGAAATATTCCTCTTCTGCTCTGACCCCTGGCCTTTTTTCCTGGAGGCTCAGTGTTCATTTTGGTTTCCTTTGGCTCTCTGAGCTTAGGGAGTCTGTTCTCTCTGCTGGGGCCCTGCTTCTCAGGCTGAGGGAGGCTGTGGCTAGGCCTCCGACCTGAATGTGCTGGCTCTTTTTTCCCTGAGGCCTCACTTAGAGTTTGGAGGCGGGAGGCTGGCAGGAGAGAGAGTTCATGGAGAGGCCACGTTTTCTAGGCGATTAGCTCAGTATTAGAACCACAAAATGACCTCGGAAGCCCCTTGACCTCTCTTAGACTGGACATTGTGCTGGCTCTTGCCTCCTGCCCAGGAGGGAAAGTCACACCTCTGCAGGGAGGGGTCCTTGGGCTGTCTGTCCCATGTTCTCTTTTACCTTATCCCTCTCTAGTACCCTAACCCTTCTTTGCTTTCATAGAATTTCTGGGCTTTTTTTTTCTTTCTATTACTTTCCATTGGGGGAAAAATGAATAAAAATATTAGGCCACAGGGGCGTGTGTGTGTGTGTGTGTGTGTGTGTGTGTGGTTTGTGTGTGGTTTATTCACACACAGGTGAGTTGGGGAATAAGATATAAGATGCTGGTCTGTCTTCACTAGGCCTCCCTCCCATGTCCGGTCATCTTTCCAGTTCAGTTGGAGGGAACTGGGGGGAATGGAGACAAAGGGATACCACAGGAAAGGCCGGACAGGCTCAGTCCAACAGATTCTAGAGAGCTATGAGACTAAGAGACTAAGACCTCTACCTGTAAAGGGAGAAAAACATTTCTTTGTATCCTCTAATCCAAATTTGTAACAGCCTTTTAACTTCTTTTCTGAAGTTTCTTTGTTTAGAAAGCTACTTCAGTAATCACCTTTATCCTCTTCCCTTATTAAAACTCCAGTCTTATCCCAGCTACTCAGAGTCCCTGCCTGCACAATCTAACCACTCCCTAAATCCAGTTCTTCCAGAACAGTCAAAGTTTGCAGAAACTTTTAATATGCTAAGAGATGCTCTGATCACAGAGAAACCTGGAACACAGAACCTTTCTAAAGTTGTATTCTATTTGCTGTATCTTAAAAATCCACATTAGCAGCAACCACTAAAAGAGAGAAAGCGAAAGAGAGAGAGAAAGAGATGTTCTGACTGAAAAAGAAATGTTCCCTTTGAAGTAAGACAAGGAGAAATGGATCATGTATGGGTTGATGATTCGTATTTTGAAAATTATTTCCTGTAACTTGGGGGGCTCCATCTCAGGCAAGAAATAACTAGTGTGATTGACACCTTCTTTGTTTTGGGTAGCATAAATGGAGGGATTCGAGTCCTCAGGAAGGAAATGTGTAAGAGAAAGGCAAGCTGGGCCAGTCCTAGACTGGAAATAATTTGGAGCTTGGAGAAGATGTTCACTCATTACCAACAATGGCAGATAACCAACTGCAAGTCCAAGTGGCAGAGACCTAGTTATTTAGGGCTTTATAAACTGCTCTTTGCAATGTGAGGGTTCAAGGTGGGCACATAGCTTAGTGGTAGAGTGCCTGCCTACTATTTTTAAGGCCCTGGGTTCTATCCCCAGCACTAACCTTAAAATAATTTGCTCAGATAATCCCAGCTGGACTGGGGACAGACATGCTCTTGTCATCCTAGGCCAAAATAGCCAGGGTCTGGGCTATATAGTGAGATTCAAAGAGAGAGGTAGAGAGAGAAT